CTTAAAGAATAATTCGTAAATTTATTATAAACTTATAGCTATTATAGAAAAACATATATAATTTGTATACGTGTATGAAATACTTATATGCACATATTTATATTCGTCAAATATTTGTACAAAATGCGATTTAATTTCTTGTTAAGTTTTACTGTTAAAATCATACGCGTTAGTCTATTTCAACTTCTTCAATTGAAGACTTTTCAGATTCCTCGTCAGATTCTGTTGCAACTTTATCGCTAGCAGATTTCCGGGCTGCTTTATAAGATCCAACCGTTTTCAAATAACTCATCGTGTATTGATTAAAGTCACATCTACAATAATAAAGATATTAGCAGTTGCTTTTTATTAGGTAATTAATGCATGAAAATTAAAAACTAACATTTTGCTCAAATCGTCATATTTCTTTTGCATATTTTTCTGCAGTATCAATAATACTGGCATTTGTAGAGCAGAATTTATTCTTGATCCATGTTTAGTCAATATAGTTTCTATCCAAAGGAGATAAAAGTGTATGTGCCTGGTGAATTCCAATTCTAATGCTACAAATTTCAAAAGTTTCTCCACGTAAATAGCAGATAAATTCGTAACAGTTAAATTGACTGAAATAAAAAATATAATAAATGTGCATGTTCTGTGTAACTAGAGATTCATGAAAAAATTATTAATAACTTACTATCCGAACATGAAATATTTTCTATGACACATTTTATTAATAATTGTTCATTCAGCCTTAGAGCCATCATTAATGCTGAAAATATTTTTTATTAGTACACTCTGACTTTATTTTGAACAAATATTATAGAAATTACGTGTAAATTTTTAACCTTTTGCATATTCCTTTTTATTCAAAGTTTTCTTCACAGTTTCGGGTGTGATTCCCACCTCCAATTGAAATGGATCAAATACCAGCCCAGCATCTAATGAATACACTAATAATCCTTCTGTTGTAGCTGTAGCCCATGCCTGTCCTATATAATGTAAAACATGTTCTTTCAAATTGGCTCTTAATTATGTTTTCAGAATAAGATATGAAATTGATTTAACCTGTTGGAGAAAATTGTATATTGTATACTCGAATTTCCATTTTGTAGTTTCTTAAATAAAATTAATTTATTATTAAAACAATAATTTTATTCAAAAAGCATTTCAAAGATTTACTTACATCAACCGCATCCAATGATTTATTCTTTGTTACAACAAATTTTTTTAGAAGCATAAATTCTTGTACATTATAGAGACATATATTTTTAGACTGTCCACCAGCCAATAAACATGTACCATCAGCTGAATAACACAAAGTAGTGAAAGCCCTAAGAATTTGAATTAGGTAGTAGTTTTAATTTCCAGTTAGCTTCTTCTATTTGGTTTTAAAATTTTTTCATCTCTGTGGAAACACTCACTTGCCCTGAAGACTCTTCTTTGCTGTGATAAGGTCACGTCGTGCCCTTCCACTGCCTAGATCATTCCTTCCTTCGATGCTACCAATTTGTACCGCCGTTTTACAGTGGAAAAACGAGATTTGTCCATCTAAAGTGGCAACCGCCACTTCCTCACCGTTTGGTTTATAAGTAACACACAAACCATCTGAAGTTAATTGTATCGTTTCATGCAAGGAACCACTTTCAATCGCATTCCATATTTTCAAAGTCTTGTCCCAAGACACAGAGACTAATTCTGTGCTTGTTAAAATTGGGCTAAACGCCAAACTAACAACTGGACCTTCATGACCACTTAATATCTGAAATATAAATTTGTAATAATAATTTTCATAGGATAATTCTTAAAAGTTTCTTAAATGTTAAATATCAAAATACTTATTAGAAATGTACCTCCAAAAGTGTACCCAGTTTAACACTCCACAAATAAATTTCAAAGAAATCTTGACCTCCTGCTGCAAGAAACTCATCGCTTGAATCTAAAGCAACGCAGGAAAACTGTACCGGTCGCGGTGAAGTAAGAGTTCTAAAATTCCTGTACCTTGCTAAATCGTACGCTCTGACAGTTCCGTCAAGCGACGCAGAAACGATAAATTTCCTATTATGACTAAACAACACTCCTGTTACCGTAGACGCATGCTCCTGAAATGTTATAGTGCAAAATCCGTTCATTGTGTTCCATAATTTTACTTTCCCGTCATCACCACCGGTAACAATATATTGGCCATCAGGACTATATGCTAAACAGTTCATGTTATTACTGTGACCTTGCTGCTTCATGGCATAAGTTTCACTCTGCCACTCCCATACTAATAATTGTCCAGCTGTGGAAGATCCTAATGCTATCCAATCGCCGGTTGAATTTATCGCGATGGATGAAATGCGTTGATTTGATATACTGAAGGATAAAATACAAATTAAAAATCTAATTATTGAGAAAGATATATTTCTAAATCACTAAATTAAACAATACCTGAGGGAGTGTATTATATTCACATCAGGCATTTCGTACAAAAAAAATGAACCATTGGAAAATCCTACCACTAGGATATTAGTCTGTTGATGATATGCAGCTGCAGTAAGCATAACTCTGTCATTTGCTTTCTTTGAGGCATCCTGAGCTAAACGATGCCGACATAATCTGGTGTAGCTTAATTTTTTAACTTCTGTCTCAGTGTTGGTATTCTCAACATCTGATTCAAATGATTGTACTAAAATGTAAATGATATTTTATATCTTGTGTTGCTTTTCACATTACTTTTTTCATTACATATTATAGTATAAAAGGAAAATTACATGACTGTTCTAAGTTATGTTCTTGAACTATGGCCTGTTTGTCCGTTTTCTCTATAGCTTTTTCAATATCAACATCATCTTCTTCGTCACTGTCTGTTAATTTATCTTTTTTAATTGGAGGTGATTCCACTGGCATTAAATCATCTGGATCAATTGTACACTCCCATATACACAGTCGTCCATTTCTTTCCAATAAATGCACAATTATTGTACTATGATTAAATATTTTCATATGAATTACATTTAAAATACCTACTTGCTTATTGTAGATAGATCATAACTTTTCTTTTCAAAGAAGCATGCTACAATTCCATCTGAATGACCACCAAGATTAATATATCTAAAGTTCTCATACTTTTCTAAACTGTAAATTTTTGTAGACATGTCTTTCGACCCAACAGCTAACAATCTAGAGTCATAAGACCAATTAATACATGTAGTGTTATCCATTGCTGTATGAAATACACGTTCCATGATGAAAGGATTGTATTCACCTGTCTGTAGACCAGGTGCATTAAATATAAATACTGTAAAGATAATTGTAATTGCTTTAGTTTCTTAATAAACCTATTATTAAATGTTTTTAAAAACATACCATTATTCTGTTTACATACTGCAAAATGTTTCCCATCTGGAGAAAACTTTACACATCTACAATGGGATTTAAATTTATATTTGTGTATGACCATTTTACTAATCATACTGATTATATGAGCTTCACCTGCTGCAAAAATATTTTGTAAGTACTACTATGTTGAAGGTTTTAAAGTAATTTAATATCTTTAAGGTATGTAAAAAAAATATACCATCATTAATTGCAATTAATAATGATCCATTAGGGGATAAGTCAATGCATCTATAATTATATCTGCTTTCCACAGGTAATGTATATGATTTATTACTGAAAATAATTTTCAAATAATTATTTCATTTATTGACAAACTTAAAATGTTATACCAATCATTTGAATAACATCCATAATTATCAAGTTTACTTTTTTAGATCATATATTGTTATCCGATTTCCCACAGGACTGATAACTGAAGATCCATCTGGAGAAAATATTAAATCTCCCTTACGATAAACTGCACCCAGTAGATTACTAAACTATAAAAGACATTTAATATATATTTTCCATCAAATATCCGCAGAAATATGTATTTGTATTTAAAGAGGTTCACAAAATTAAGACACGAATCATATTAAAAAGAAAATTATAATGCATTGTAAAACTAGGTTAGGAATATTATATAGACGATTTTAATATTTATCCTATGTATTTAAGGTACTCGTTTAAAAAATCCTTCATTTAAAATGTGCCTTTTACCTTATATGCAAACTTCATGGTGTTTTAACATATGTATACAGTTTTTATTGTTAATATTCTTCAGTTTCATTGAGCACGTTTAACATTATATTTGAATTGAACAGACTATAGCCGCTGCAACACAACTTCCGCTCGGTAAATCTGATCACGTGTTGAAATTAAGGTGTTGGCTCAAAATGCCAGAACCTTCACACAAATTTGTTAACTAAACATAATATTATACAATAATCGAAGGATTAATATCGTTTTAATATACAAATATTTTAAACAACGTTGTGAAAAATATAATAAAACCTCATTATAATACATATAAATGCAGTAGATATAAAATAATACATATTATATGACTTTATTTCACTTTGTAATAAATATTTTAAACCTAAAAATTAATTAATACGATTCATAAAAAAGATAAAACTGAAATAGACGATTAAACACCAAATGTAAACGTTAGATTCCACGCCCAAATGCAAAATTGATACCGACATTTTTCATGTTCCATCTATACAAACATTAAAAACATACTTAAATTTTATTCTGCAAATGTAAATTTCAAAAAATCATCGCAAGTTTGACTAATTTTTTTAATTGAAATTATAAATGTTGCAACTGCATTTGAATTTAGTCACGTGTTTGGATGTATTTTGATAAAAGAACCTAAAAATACAGCATTATTTTTGTTAGATAGGTGGGAGCAATAAACATGATTTTCCAAGGAACATTTCTCGAATTTTTACAAGGTTCAAAGTCATAAAAATCGTTGTAAAACACGAATAAGTACAGGAAGCGAGTGTCACGCGCTCCGAAAAGCAAAAGCTTGCGCAACAGCGATGCGCAATGATCCGACTCGGGAACCTATAGCGCAGCTTGACGTCAGATATAAAAGATGAAAGACGGCACAGGATTCGCTTGCCATGGTGTAGCCCGCAGTCGCGAACCAATAGCAAGGGGATAGACATTGGCCAGCTTCGGCAACCTCTTCTTCTCTCGTTCGTCACTCATCACATGACCCGCACTCCTGTACGGTAGGCCATATTTGACAGTGGCACTAGTTTAGCGAAGTGAGTGCGTGAAGATCGCTCTTCATCCGACGTTCGCGTTTCGACAACCTGTAAGCACTCGTGATCGATTTGACCTACGAGTCCTGAACACATCACAATGAGCGAACTAACAGAAGAAAATCCTGTTTACGCGCCCTTCTTCGGTGTGATGGGCGCCGCCTCAGCCATTATATTTTCTGGTGAGTTTCAGCTGTTTGAATTTGCCTAGACGCTTGATGAAAGAAAGCATCTGAACGCAAAGATTCATAGCTCGTATGGAAAAAAATGTAACATGATTGTCGAACAGGGGGTGACCCCTGAAAATCTACCTAACGTTGGCTGTTCGCGACCGTACCGCACGCCATTTTCTTCCCTACGTACCATGTAAAGTATATGAAAACAGCGTGAACTTCGGGGATTAACCAATTTCATCACGGTATTAGTCTCGACGAACGTTTAAATTCCTTAATTGTCCTCGATATGACTCATCTATGCTTCGATCGTCATCGATAAGCCACTTTCAAGGATCAAACCGACGAATAAGCGCGAAATTATTCCTCGCTTGATTCACGTTAATTTATTTCGGTATATTTTATCGTTGTCAAGCTTGTCACCCCGTGATATATAACACCACCACCGCGATACAGGTGTGTTCTAATCTGAAGTACCGAAGATGTCAAGGATAGAGATTCAATTTTGAAGCGCCATTTTTCTAGGCACGTAGATCTAGGATTTCGTAATGTTCCGTAAATGCAGTCCAACCAGCTTAATTTTACATTACGAGAGAAACATATTTGCGCGCCGCGTTCGGGGACTGGGGGTACGCGACGTTATTTCGTAATGCTGACCTCGTTGGGTACGTTTTTTAATAAAAAGTCCATGTATCGGTTCATGGGCGCGGGAGGAGGCTAATATAATACCAGGATTTACAGGAATCGATGGAAGATTCCACTAGATATAATCTAGCGATGCATTATCTCGATACATGTGTCTATCGATCTCGGTATAATTCGATTTTTCTCATTCTTTGAAGAATCTCTCTCTCTCTCAAAAGAGAAAGCAATGAGGATAGTAAGAGAGAGAGAAAGAGAGAGAGAAACATATTCGAGACGCGCAAACTTAAACTTTGAAGCGTCGTCGGCGGTCCCTATCAAGGAAATCAATACGAATCCCTTTTCCCGTGTGCGCCAGTCTCTTGAATGGACGACAACACACGAGGAAGGCCTGACCTACGAATCAAAAGCACGAGGAGTTTGGAATGCACGAAAAATCTTGATCCTCATCCAAATAGAATTATCTCATTTCTCCAGAAATCTAACGTTAATGTGTTTTCATTACTGCTTCTTCGTTTTATATATATATATGTATACACATATATAACGAATCTTCTGTTGGCCCATATTCGTTCGATCGGTAAAATCATTGAAAATTTGAAAGGAAAAATGCGATTGTCTACTTGTGCCACGCCCCCTACGCACGGGATGGGACTTATGATTATCATGTGACTGCCAACGTGAGAATCATGTGACTACGATTTTCAGTCACGGCGGAATCATTTGTCGTGGCATTACCTGTGATTTCTCCCTTTTCATCGATGCATTTTCCTGTACTTTTTAACAGAATGTCGATGAAAACAGCTACGATATCTGATAAAACCATAGAAATCAGATTCGTAACCTTCTCATTAGGGATCAATATTAAACGAGATCAATAGCCCTTGATGCCTAGGGAATAATGTCACTGATGAACGAACGGGAATCTGTCAAAGCTTCTATTATTAAACTGAAACGTACAAAATGTGATATTTAGTAATGTTAATTTGAAATTAGTTAAATTTATTACTTATTACTTTATAATTTGTCTATCACATTACACTTGATGTATAAATATATACAGATACATGTCAAAATGCAAAATACTTCGTTAATTGTATAAATAAAATGTTTTGAAAATGCAGAAATATTTAAATATTATAAGTGTTGGGTATTATATAAGAAACCATATGTTTTATAATTATACAGTGATACATTTTACTGCAACAGAAATCTTTATTCAACAAATGTTAATGAATGGAATTAAATGCAATATCATGCCTGTTTTTATTTCCAGCTCTAGGAGCAGCATATGGCACAGCAAAGTCAGGTACAGGAATTGCAGCAATGTCTGTTATGAGGCCAGAACTTATCATGAAATCTATCATTCCTGTTGTTATGGCTGGTATCATTGCCATTTATGGTCTTGTAGTAGCAGTTCTCATTGCTGGTGGTCTAGAAGAGCCTTCTAAATACTCTCTATACAAGTATGTTATACAACTTTCTTAATTTTCAAACTTATGTTAAGAGTAATAGAAACAAGATTTATATCTATTCTTTATATATTTTGTCACTGTAAATATGCTTGGAACATAAATATCTATTTAGTTATTATTATTATTACCTTTACGGTTTAAATATTATTAAAATAATATTGTCTAAATATTATTTTATAGATACTAAAAACGTACCGCGTTTAAAAAAGCATTAAACGATATAATTTGATATCATGTTATAAATACTGTTTACTTGCTGTATATTAAGAAGTATTTAAGTAGATTGTTGCACACAACAATTTCTATAGCTAATTGCTATAGATCTTAGTAATGCTTGTCTATATATATTTTCCATTTAATCAATTTGGGGCTTACCTAGTTTTAATTCTGTTGTTGCTTTACTTAACGTTAGTATACTCATATATAATCAACTATTACTTTTTCCTTCCATAGTTAACAAGCAATTTTTTGGTCTTTTTACTAGGGGTTTTGTTCATCTGGGTGCTGGCTTAGCCGTAGGTTTTTCTGGTCTAGCTGCTGGATTTGCCATTGGTATTGTTGGTGATGCAGGTGTAAGAGGTACTGCTCAACAACCTCGCCTGTTTGTCGGTATGATCTTGATTCTAATCTTCGCAGAAGTATTGGGTCTCTACGGTCTCATCGTTGCCATCTACTTGTACACCA